AAGATCAAGGCCTAAGAGTTGTAGAGTTAAAGATAGCACAAAGGCTTGACTTAAAAAATATCTTAGAAGAATGTAGTATCTGATTTATATGTTGATTAGGTGTGTCCCACGAAAGAGTGAGTCATTCTGGATGCATGTTTAGGTCTGCATCCTAATGAATCTAGAGGTTGATATCAGGGACACTAAGTGATTCTCTTTCTTCTTAAAAGTCTGCACCCATCACTATATGCCAGTGCCTGCTATTGGGGGTGCTGATTTGGCTAGAGCCTCTTCCTGATATCCCATTATGAATGCTCTTTTAACCAATCGCTCTTCATTTCCACTCCTGCACTACATAGTTCTTCTAGAACCACCCTCTCTGAGCTTCCCTTTCAGCCACAGAGAAAGCTCAGAAGTGAAGTAAAGCAGATGTCAAAAGAGGGTGACAGATCCTGCCCCTTCAGGTGCCCCATTTTGTGCCCTGCTACCCTCCTGCTCTCTATTACCCCAGGTGATCCCTTGAATGGGAAGTCAGAACTAAAATTCAAGGTTTTTACCTTCATCTACATAACTTCAAAGCAATAATATAACCAGAAATGTCCCTTCAGATCATCAGGAGGAAAATCATTGTGTGATCGGGAGTTGTGGCTAAACAAGCTTGAGAATTCAGACTGCTGCTCCAGGGTGCTGGGTGGGATTTTATAGAATGGAGCAAAGGGTGACATCATCAACAGGTATCTAATCTGGATAAAAGAAAGACCTTGAAGAGCAACTAATTCCTGGGGGGAAATCCCTCAAATCACTTTAAATTATAAAAGAAGATCTGAAGATGGGTGGGAGAGATGGTGCCCCGTTGTAGAGGAAGATGGAATGAAAAAAATCCTTCCTTGCAGTTTCAAGATTTCCCAGAGATGAAAATATAAATTTTCAACTTCCTGAACTTCCTGTGACCTGTGGTGACCTGAAGGGGACTCTACATAAGAAGAAATTGAAACAAGGTCAGTTTCTTGGTCTTCTAGGATTTTCAACTGGGAAATACCCACGCAAGTAGCATACAGCTGAGGAGCAGATATCTATGTTGGAGGCCTCCAAGACCAGCTCCAAGTCTGATTTGCTGGGAGCTTTCCTAGATCTTGGTCACACTCACAGCTCAGGTTTATGAGAGTGAAAGGATGCAAAGCAAAGTCAGCAAAGGGGAAAGGTGGGGGCCAGGGGGGCAGAGTTCAGAGGGAACCAAGGGCAAGCTGCCAGAGTCCTCTCTGGTGGAGTCACATGGGACTCTCTCCATGAAGGCCAGAGAAATATACACACATGGCAGGGAGTCTGCTTCTTCCGTCACCTTTTATCCTGGGTGTGTGGCCTCTGATGTCTGAGAGGAGAATTTAGACCTTTCTGCTACTAATCCTGAACCCAAAATGGGTGGTTCCAGATCCACTGTGGTGGGAGGCCAACTCATGTGTTTCACGCTCAGAGAGATGAGTTTGTGATGGTTTTACAGGAAGCCCTCAAAAAAGTATACAGACTGAGAATGGAAGGTGGCTCACCCCCAGGGAATTTGAAATTAAAGGAGGCTACGAACAATCCAAGAAATGGAAGCACAGTATACGCTGTGGTAGATATCGTCTGCAAGACCTGATGGAGGTAACCTAGTGGCAAACAGCTTAAATCAAGGTGTCAGTCACAAGTCACCAACACCAAGCATTAGCAGAATTTCTCAGTGTCCAGAAAAACGTCATTATTCCCTTTGCCCAGGTCCCAATGTATGTGGTGTTGTGAACATCCACCCCAGAGGTGACCATAGATGGCTTATATTACAGCCTAATCCTCTAAGCCCATTAACTCTTATCCTTTTGAAGATAGGATGGTAAACTGTGACCATAACTCTGCCACAAATAAATTGGGCAATTTGGTCATGTGAAAGTAACCTAAACTGCAGGGAGAGGAGTCTTCAGTTTGCAGACCACGATTAAAAGTAGCACAGAACAATTATATGTCTAAAAATAATATAGTAGGATGTGTATTTCTTAGATTATACAATATTTTAACAATACGTCTTTTCATAAACCATCTCAAATATGTTCTAAAAGGAGAACACAAATAAATTGCATTTTGAACTGAATATTCACTCCCTTTATCAATCCCCTAATGTGGAAATGCAGGGACAGGGTCTCTGCTGCAGATGAAGCTGTGTCTTTTAACTCTGGATACAGAGATCATACTGTTGCACAGACAGATAGTCCTTCACTATGCCACTCTAGTAATATAGAAAAGGTCTTTGCTCAGCAAATATGTATTGAGCTACATCTAAAGCCATGAGAGAGCACAAAGTGTGAGCATCTACCCAGGAAGAGGGCTGCACTTTAACAAACATAGGCCTGCACTGTGCAGATGATCTAAAGAGAAACACTACAGCAAGAGATATAGTAGGAAGGAATGTCGTTTCTTGCATTTGAAGTTGAGGACTGTTTCTTAGAACGATTTGAAATGAGCCAGGATATAAAACCACAAGAGTTCAAACAAACAAAATATAGAGCAAAGCATTCTGCATACCTAAGAAAAAATACCAAGAAAATCTCCACAAAATATCAGTAAGTGGTGGGTAATGAGGCTGATACATTCCCGGGACTCACCATAGACATCATGAAGCCAAAGGAAAGAGTCTAAATGCTTGTTTTAATGACTGGGGAATCATGGAAAATAATTTCCATCAAGATCCCTTGAATAAGAGTTGACAGTAGGACATCCAGGTAGAAATATCTGGAGAGCAGTCAGAAGTATCAAGCCCACAAAATAAACACAAGAAGCCATCACACTATTCATCTCTTTTCTCTTTCAGAAAGGAGTCCTACCAAACCCACCAAAACCAAAAAGAAAGGTGATTATCAGGTGACATTCTGCTAACGTCTCATCTGTCATATTCTGTGGTATATGTACACCATGGAATACTATGCAGCCATAAAGAAAGATGGAGACTTTACGTCCTTCATGTTCACATGGATGGAGCTGGA